GGCATCACCCTTCGTGCTTTACACTCTCTCACAATAACATGCACGGCATCACCCTTCGTGCTTTACACTCTTCCTCACCCAAATAACAGAAAAGCAATATGTCCCGGCAAGGGAGTCAACAATATCAACAATAATATCCCGGCAAGGGAATCAACAATATCAACAATAACATCCCGGTAAGAGAATCAACAATATCAACAAGCGTCCCGACAAGGGATTCCGCTATAACCAATCTCGTTTTTACAATCTCTTTACAAAATGGAACTTCAATTTGAATCAATACTCAACAAAAGTCAATAACCAAGAAACTTTCGTAAGCTTTGTTCAACATTAATAATCATCAATTGAGCATGATCGATACATAGTAGAGTCACAACAATCATGGTACAAAACTCACGGGCATGCTTGATACCAACGTATAGATGCTCGTTACCACACCTATACGTCGTACTCGATACAAACACATAGCAAATAGACCACAACTCCTATTCCCTCAAGCTAAGGTTAAGCCAAACACTTACCTCGATTCCACGGACAAATTAAGCCTCTACTACCGCTTTACCTCTCGGTTCCACTTCCAATTTGCTTGTATCTAGCCACAGATTACTTAATGATATCGATAAATGCTAAATAAATCAATTCTAATATATGAAAATAGGTTTCCCAATGTTTTTTCCAAAAAGTCAAAAAAATCGACCCCGGGCCCGCTTGGTCAAAACTCGAAGTTCGAACCAAAACCCGATCACCCATTCCCCCACGAACTCAAATATATAATTTATTTTGAAATCGGACCTTAAATCGAGGTCCAAATCCCCAAAATGTGAAAATCCTAAGTTTTACCCAAAAACACCCAATTTTCCCATGAAAACCCTTGATTTTGAAATGAAATCATGTAAAAAGATGGATTAGATTGAAAGAAATGAGTTAGAAATGACTTACTAATGATTTGGAAGAGTATGTGCCTTTGGAAAATCGCCCAAAGATGTTTTAGGGTTTGAAGAGTTATAAAAATGGTTGAAATCCCGTAAAAATTTCATTTAGCAGGTCTCTGATGTCGCAATTGCGACCAGGGGTTCGCAATTGCGAACCCTGAGAACTTCTGCTAGCTTCGCGAATGCGAAGAAACTATCGCATTTGCGACCATGACCAATCTCTGTCAACTTCGCAATTGCGAAGCAGGGGTCGCATTTGCGATGAAGGGTCTGCCCAGCCTTGGTTCGCAATTGCGACAATTTGGTCGCATTTTCCAAGCCTGACCACTTCGCAAATGCGAAGCCTGATCTCGCAATCAGAGACCTGGGCAAAAATACCAGATACCAGCAATTTTTTCCTAAGTCCAATTTCACTCCGTAGCCCATTCAAAACTCACCCGAGCCCTCGGGGCTCCAAACGAATCATGCACGCAAGTCTAAAAATATCATACGGACTTGCTCGTGCGATCAAATCATCAAAATAACATCAACAACTATGAATTAAACCTCAAATTCATGAAATCACTCAAGAACATTGAAATTTTTATTTTCTCAACAATAGGTCCGTTTTATATCAAACGAACTCCGATTCTTACCAAATTCCACAGATTCAACCAAATTATTTTTCTAAAGTTGTATCAGGTTCCGGAACCAAGATATGGGCCCGATACCATCAAGAAATTACATCAATTCACTTCTAAAAGCCTTTATATTTTCCAGCAAATAATTTTCTTTAAAAATTCTTTTCTCGGGATTGGGACCTCGGAATTCGATTTCGGGCATAAGCCCAAGTCCCATATTTTACTACGGACCCTACGGGACCGTCGGATCACGGGTTCGGATCCGTTTACCAAGAATATTGACCAAAGTCAACTTTAATCAATTTTAAAGGTCAATTTCATTATTTTTCTAAAATTTCACATAAAGCCTTTGCGGAAACGCGCCCGGACTGCGCACGCAAAATCGAGGTGAAAAAATAAGGTTTTCAAGGCCTCGGAACGCAGTTTTGACTTCTAAAATAAGAGATGACCTTTAGGGTCATCACATTTATTGATCAATGTTTTAAGGCTATTTTGGTAAACCAACATTGTATTCATGCTTTTATAATAATATAGATATAGATAGATAGATAGATAGATAGATGTAGATATAGATAGATTATACGAAGTAGAATTTGCGGCCAATAAAAAATTATCACTCTTCGTGAGAAGATCTCTAACTATTTTAAACTTAAAAAATTGAGACACAAATTAGTTGACCAATTAAATTCATTATTAAAATAATTTTTTGAATACTTAAATCTCACTGCACTATAACAAGGAAATTACAATGTGCTTGAGAATAGGAGGGAAAAATTACTTCTATTAAAAACACCACAGTACAGCCCTCTAATGTATTAACTCCTCAGGATTGTTTCTCATTAACCAAACCATTACAAGATCATGAAATTATTACTGCAATCCATTCATTTAAACCATTAAAAGCACCTGGACCAGACGGTCTTCACCCGCTCTTTTATCATAAAAATTGGGATACCATAGGTAGCTCTGTCAAGTTTTTTTGTCATAAAACTTTCCTAGATTATCAAATTAATCCTACTATTAATACTACTTACATCTGCCTAATTCCCAAGAATAAGATGCTGCTACAATATCTCAATATCGAACTATCAGTCTTTGTAAATACGTAAATAGACTAAAACCTATTATGGAACACATTATCCATCCAACTCAATCTAGTTTCCAAAAGAACAAAAGAGCAGCTGATAATGCTCTTATTGTCCAGGAAATTATTAAAAAATTCCAACAAATGAAGGGCAACAACTTAAATTGGATCTTGAAAAGGCTTTTGACAAACTAGAATGATCGTTCATACATAACTCCTTAATAACCTTAAATTTCCCTCCAAATATCATTAAATTAATTATGTCTTCTATAACAACTACAACCACTTCAATTTTAATTAAAACCCTACGGAATATTTCACACCTACCCGAGGCATAAGACAGGGGGACCCATTATCACCATATCTGTTTATCCTTTGCCTAGAAATGCTTTCGCGTAAAATAAATAAGGAAGTGGATTACCATACTTGGTTACCACTATCTTTGGCTAACAAAGGGCCTCAACTATCTCATTTATTTTTTGCTGACGATATTATTCTCAGCAAAAATAACACCCACTACTTGTCAATCAATTATTCGTACTCTAGATCATTTCACATATCATTCTGGACAAACTATTAACTTTGACAAGTCAAAAATATTTTTCTCAAAAAACTGCATAACTCCTACAAGAACCTCCGTACTACAACTTTTTCACATGAATGAGGGGAAAAGTTTTGGTAAATATCTAGGATTCCCTATTTTCATAAAGCAACCTACAAAAAGGGATTATCAGTTCTTAATTGACAACTTCAAAAATAAACTGGCAGGAAGGACAACTTTAATTCGTTCCACTTTAAACCACCTTCCTAATCATCTTATGCAATACATTAAAATTCCTAATTATATATTATCCCACCTCAATCGCTACCAACGAAATTTTCTATGGGGTACACCCCCTCAAAAGAAAAAATTACATCTCATTAAATGGAGCACAATTACTCAACCAATATATCAAGGGGGTTTAGGAATCCAAAGCCTAGCAACCAAGAACCGAGCCTTACATGCAAGTCTTGCCTGGAGGCTGTTTCAAAACCCACACCAACTATGGGCACAAGTGCTCCTACACAAGTATTTACGACCATCACATTTAATTAAAACTAATGTATCCTCTACTTGGCGTAATATCATGAAAGGATGGTCTCACTGTCGTTTAGGCTATAAATGGAATATTACAAACGGACAACATGTCAAATTCTGGTCTGATCTTTGGATCAAGCCCAATTTAATAATTGGTAACTGCATAACGAGACCTCTCCCACGCCATGAGGAAAAAAACCTTCTCTCTAACTACTATTACCATCACAGGTGGCATTTGAAAAATTACCATTCATTATCCCAGATCAATTTCAATCAACTATCATAAATATATACTTGCCTTTCTCATCCATAACACATGATCAAATATACTGGGCTCATACACAAAATGGTCAATTCTCGGTTAAATCTGTTTACAACTCTCTCATCAATAACTCAACCTCACAATATTCCTACAAGTGGATTTGGAAACTTTTCATTCCTCCAAAAATATCCTTCTTCCTCTGGTTACTTTGCCATAACAGACTACCAAGAGCTGTGTATCTTACAAATTTAGGAATCCTAAATTCACCTACATGCCAGCAATGTCATATGGCCCCTGAAAATATAATTCATCTCTTTTTCGAATGCTCTCACGCAACTCAACTATGGGCTGACCTTCATCACTCTTTTCCCAGTCCTAATTCCACTACACCCCTAACCTCTAACATCCATTGGTTGTACCAATTTATACATATACCATTACCATGTACTCCCATCAAATTCCATCTACAACTTTTATACCATTTGCACTATGGCACCTTTGGATTATAATGATTAAGAACACTTTCGACCATAAACGAATTCCTTTAGATATTCCCTTGATACTAAATATGGCAGCAGAATATCACTTTCTCACAACCCCAAAATTAACACATAAAAGTGTAACCCTCTAGACATAAAATGGCATCCTCCAACAGCTTATAATTATAAATTAAACATTAATGGCTCTTGCTCATCTACACAACAAAGGTATGGTATTGGAGGCATTTGTCGAAACCATCAAGGCCATTGGATTTTGGGTTTTTCAGGCAAATCAAACCCAGGTACAAGTATTCATACAGAACTTCTTGCACTCCTCATGGGATTAAAACTGGCCGTGCAACAGCATCTCAAACCTATCATCGTCGAAACAGATGCACATGCAATATTAGGTATGTTTAACTCAACTACAATGCAATACACTAACATTATTAATGATTGCAGGTTACTCCTCATACAACTGGATAACCCTCCTATAATATCCATCTACAGAGAACAGATTTGTGTTGCAGATACTTTAGCTAAATATGGATCCACCCATGCACAGGAAGTGCATACTTTTTGCGACGCCACCATCTTTTGCAGAGTCTCCATATCACAACGACTGTAGTGGTATATTACAAAGGAGGCTCGTTCAAGCAATTTCTAGTACTAATAGTTCGTTTAATAGTAGTGTGAACCCTAGTCCTACTAATGCTGTATCTACTTTTAATGTTCAGTCTGCTAATGCTTCCCATACAGGAAGCTTTGTTGTAAACCCTAGCTCAGTATCTACGATGCCACTTATGCATCTACTAAGTTCTCATATATCTGTTTAACTTATCTATAATATAAGTACATCCTTTTGACCAAAAAAAAAAAAAGGAGGGAAAAAAAGAAAAAAACAGAAAACCCACTCCATCTATAGACTCTTCACAAATGAAAAAGATAAAGGGGGCAATCCCTCTTAGTGAGAATTTTAGAGGGATATTAATTAGAAGTTTTATATCTTATCAGGGGCTGAATGGGATTTAACTATAAAACCAAAACCATCAAAGTTTCCAGAGAGCCAACATAAGAACACTTTTGCTGAAGCTCAGAAAAAGGTTACAGCTTTTGGTCAGAGGTAAGTACACATAACCCATTTCATATTTACCATCAATTCTTAATCTTTCCAGTAGAGTAATCAATTTCAAATATCAATTGCCGTTTTCACATACTATTCATGTAGCAACTGAAAAGCGCAATTTAATTTTTCGAATGCATATTTCTTTCAATTTTTCTGGAAATGGAATGAGATGGACCCGAATGGATATTGAACATTCATATAGCTGACACCTACTAGTTTGGATTGAGGCATGAAATTGGAATCTTTTTCATTTTATTTCGTCAATTTTTGGATAACAACTTAGAAGTCAAGTTTCATTCAAATTAGTAAATAATGTAATTGTTTTGACAAAGACAGATATGCTTGCGGGGGGCTTCGGTCTTGTGGTAAGAGCACAACACAACACATGATGTGTGGGTTCGGTTCACATCACAGGTTCTCAAATCCTAATGCAAACAAAAAGCGTGGTTTTTCAATGGAGCAGGGTAGAGAGGCGGGGATAGTAATAAATGCAAGAATATTACTTCTATAACCTCATCGTTTTCCAGAGTTTGGGGTTTAATACCTCAAAGATGATAAATTTTTGGATTGTGTATTAATTAAATGAATATTACCTCTAGATGGTATGATATTAATTCAACTTCCATTGGCAGATAATTTGAAGCTGGTTTTCTCTGCAGCTGTCATCCGTCGGCAGCAGTTCTTGTTAAGGTGTTTGGGAGGGTCCGCTGAGAAAAAGAACTTTAATTATCAAAGTATTAGAATGCAATCTGTAATGAGTAGTGGCCCAAGCTTGGAGGCTGATTCTGTCAGCATTTTGAGATCAATAATTCCAGGTCTTGAATCAGCTAAGCATAAAGGCCAAGCTGGTGAAAATTCTTTCTGATTCCTATTTACTTGTATTGAAATGCCGTTACCTCCATCGATAAGTTTGAATTATTAGAGAATTGTTAGATAATGAATGTAGACATAATCTGAATATAGACATAATCTTATGTAATATACATAGCTAGCATAATTATAGGGATTCATAGCAGATTTATAGGATTTCCTTTTTGATTCTTTCTATAGTTAAGGCTCTATGTACTTGTATATATACTTGTTACTTCTTGAATACAACACAAGAGAGATTTACTTAACATGGTATCAGAGCCGAGCTTGTAGCTCGCCGGAATTTGTCCGCTGCCTAGCCGGAGTTTGTCTGCCGCCTTACCGGAATTTGTTCACTGCCACGCCGAAATTTCTGCAAACTTTTGAAGTAACAGTTCACGCGCCACTGATAACTTTCTGGCAGAATTTCGTCGGCAAGCACGTGGAGTCAAATTTTTTGTCCAGCTGATTTCGTTGGCCAAACCTGGTTAGACCATTCCTTTCTGCTTCCTTTCTTTGACTAGTTGTCTGATTTGGTAAGTGCTGTTGTTTGGAGAGTTTCCTCTTGGATCAGACTACTTCTCTGATTTGTTGGAGCATATTTTTGGGTCTGATTAGTTATCTGAGTAATTGACTGGTGAGAAGCTTGCATAATAGATTGTTGATTTCGTATCTACCAGGATCTGTTTGAGTATCTTTTAGCTTCGGGGACCTCTGTTAGTTTAATAAATTTGTTATTGAAAGAAAAAAAATTATGGTAAAGAATGATAATGCAACAACTCCTAGTCCAACAATCTTGGTTTCGGATGAGTTTCTAAAATTCCTTCAATATCATAAATCAGTTAAGGAATCTTCTTCAGTTACTGCCTTTGCTGGGTCAGATAAAACATGTCTTATCACCTCTTCCAATAAATGGGTGATCGATTCTGGTGCTACAAATCACATGACAGGTAATCCAAATATTTTTTCTAGCTTTCGCTCACATAAAGCACCCTCTCCGGTTACTGTAGCTGATGGACCAACTTGTAGCAGTGTTGGATCTGGGATTGTTAAACCAACTTCCTCTATTACCCTGTCATCTGTATTAAGTCTACCAAACTTGGCCTTTAACTTGATTTCTGTTAGTAAAATTACCAAAGACCTTAATTGTTGTGTTGCATTCTTTCCCGATCATTGTTTGTTTTTAGATCTTAAGACGATGCAGGTTATTGGTAAAGGATATATATCTGGTGATCTCTACATTCTTGATGAATGGGAGCCACAGTCTGTTGCATGCTCTAGTATCGTGTCTCCTTTTGAAGCACATTGTCGACTTGGACATCCCTCTTTGCCTTTGTTAAAGAAGCTCTGTCCTCAGTTTCAGAATATTTCATCATTGGATTGTGAGTCATGTCGATTTGCAGAACACCATCGCATCTCGTTAAGTCCAAGGGTTAATAAGCGAGCTGAGTCAGCTTTTGAGTTGGTCCATTCTGATGTTTGGGGACCATGTCCGGTTGTTTCTAAAACTGGGCATAAGTATTTTGTCACTTTTATAGATGATTTTTCTCGAATGACTTGGATTTACTTTATGAAGAGCCGCTCTGAAGTGTTTACTCATTTTTCTGCCTTTTGTGCTGAAGTCAAAACTCAATTCAATGCTTCAGTACGTACTCTAAGGAGTGATAACGCTAAAGAATACATGTCAGAGTTATTTCAGTCCTACATGAGATAACATGGTATATTACATCAGTCTTCATGTGTTGATACACCCTCTCAAAATGGAGTTGCTGAGAGGAAGAATAGGCATCTACTTGAGACAGCTCGAGCACTTTTGTTCCAAATGAAGGTTCCTAAACAGTTCTGGGCTGATGCGGTTTCTACGGCTTGTTTTCTGATTAATCACATGCCATCTAGTGTACTCGATGGTAATGTGCCTTATAGTGTTCTTTTTCCGAATAAGTCATTATTTCCGGTGGAACCTAAGGTGTTTGGAAGCACATGTTATGTTCGAGATGTTCGACCATCTCTTACCAAGTTGGATCCCAAGGCTGTGAAGTGTGTTTTCCTGGGCTATTCTCGCCTTCAGAAGAGGTATCGATGTTATTCTACTGAGCTTGGCAAATATTTAGTGCCAACTGATGTGGTATTTTCAGAGACTACACCATTCTTCTATGCACCTCCCATTTCTACAAGCCAGGGGGAAGAAGATGAGTGGCTAGTATATCAGGTTACCCGTACTTTGACAGAACAATCAGATGATACTCTTCGATCTCCCAGTTCTTCTATTGAGCACTAATCGACTATTATGCCTTCAGTACCTGCTCCAACAAGACCTCCAATTGTTCAAGTTTATTCGCGGAGGCGAGAGACAAATGATACATGTCCCGCACCAGTTCCTGCATCATCTGATTCTTCTTTGCCTGATCCTCCAGATAACCTTGATCTTCCTATTGCTCTTCGCAAAGGTACACGTACTTGCAAATCGACATATTCTGTTGCTAACTTTGTTTCCTATGACCACTTATCCTCTACGTCTAGATCTATGATTGCTTCTCTAGACTCCATCTTCGTACCCAAACAGTGAAGGAGGCTTTGAATCATCCCAGATGGTCTGATGCAATGCTTGAGGAATACATGCTTTAGAGGACAACCACACATGGGATTTGGTAGATTTACCAACGGGAAAGAAACCAGTGGGATGCAAGTGGGTCTTTACAGTTAAAGTTAATCCAGATGGTTCTGTAGCAAGACTTAAGGCCAGACTTGTGGCGAAAGGGTATGATCAGACTTATGGGGTGGATTATTCTGACACCTTCTCCCTGGTTGCCAAACTCACTTCTGTCTGCTTATTTATTTCTCTAGCTGCGTCCGAGAATTGGCCTTTACATCAGTTGGATATCAAGAATGCGTTCCTTCATGGTGATCTTAAGGAGAAAGTGTAGATGGAGCAACCACCCGGTTTTGTTGCTCAGGGGGATATGGGGAAGTCTGTCATTTGAAGAAGTCCTTGTATGGCTTGAAGCATAGTCCACGAGCTTGGTTTGGCAAGTTCAGTGAGGTAGTTCAGGAGTTTGGGTTGAAAATGAGTAAGTGCGATCACTCAGTCTTCTATCGGAAATCAGTAGCTGGCACTATTCTCCTCGTTGTATATGTTGATGATATTGTTATCACCGGAAGTGACTATGCTGGGATTTCTTCCCTCAAGTCTTTTCTGCATACTAGGTTTCATACAAAGGACTTGGGCCAGTTGAAATACTTTTTGGGAGTAGAAGTAAATAGAAGCAAGAAGGGAATTCTTTTGTCTCAGAGAAAGTACATTCTTGACTTGCTTGCAGAAACTGGAAAGTTGGCAGCTAAACCGTGCAGTACTCCAATGGTTCCTAATGTGCATCTTATGAAAGATGATGGTGATCCTTTTGACGATTCAGAGAGATACAGGAGGTTAGTTGGGAAATTAAACTACCTTACTGTGACTCGTCCAGATATTGCTTTTGCAGTAAGTGTTGTTAGCCAGTTCATGTCTGCACCAACGGTCAAACATTGGGCAGCTTTGGAACAGATTTTGTGTTACTTGAAAGGAGCTCCTGGACTTGGCATATTATATAGCAATCACAATCATACTCGTATTGAGTGTTTTGCAGATGCTGACTGGGCTGGATCGAAAATTGATAGAAGATCTACTACAGGTTATTGTGTCTTTGTTGGAGGAAACTTGGTATCATGGAGGAGTAAGAAGCAAAGTGTTGTATCTCGATCTAGTGCAGAATCCGAGTATAGAGCTATGTCACAGTCTACATGTGAGATTATGTGGATACATCATCTGTTGACTGAAATTGGGTTAGACCATCCAATACCAGCAAAACTCTGGTGTGACAATCAAGCTGCCCTCCATATTGCGTCAAATCCGGTGTATCATGAAAGAACTAAGCATATTGAGGTTGACTGCCATTTTATTCGTGAGAAGATTCAGGAGAACTTGATCTCCACTAGCTACGTGAAGACAGGAGAGCAACCGGCTGATTTGTTCACAAAGGCGTTGAATGGAATTCGAGTTGAGTACCTTTGTAACAAGCTGGGCATGATCAATATCTATGCTCCAGCTTGAGGGGGAGTGTTAGATAATGAATGTAGACATAATCTGAATATAGACATAATCTTATGTAATATACATAGCTAGCATAATTATAGGGATTCACAGCAGATTTATAGGATTTACTTTTTGATTCTTTCCATAGTTAAGGCTCTATGTACTTGTATATATACTTGTTACTTCTTGAATACAACACAAGAGAGATTTCTCTATTGTCTCTATACTTTACAAGAATAAACAGTTTTATTTATTTAATTAAGTCTTTACATGCACCCTTATTTTAGTTGGGGTCTTGGGGGAGTAACCATTTTAATCAGGACTTAAAAAGGGGAAGAAGTTGCTCGAGATTCTGTATCCAGAAATTTGAGTTTCTATTTCTCTCCAGTATTTTGATGCTATTGAACTTTGCTGAAAGATTTTTATGCTGAATAATACAATTAATCAAGTCCTTTATAGATTCTGGTCTCAAGTCTCAATTAGTTTGTGTGTTCTTTATTTACGCTATATGATGAATTTCATCCAATCTCAAATATCTGATTTTGGTCTCAGCTTGAGGCAAGTTATACCAAATTGCATCTGGTCTTGTGATGAAATTAAAGTCTTTGCCTCCACTTTACAACTGGAGGTTTGAGGCAATCCCTTGGGCCTTCAGTTGTACCCTTCACGCCTCAGTTCCTTTCTAGAAGTAAGAAAATAACGTTTGATCTCAACTAGTATTATAACAATTTTTTTATGGCAGAAACTTTATTGAGTTTTAAAAAAAAAAAAATTTATAGCATAAGTTTTGGCACATAAATATCTATCTATTTATCAGGCAAATTTCATTGATGATTGTCATTTTAACAGATCTTTGTTTATCAAGATGTACTATTCTCCCTCCCCCCCAAACTATCTCTAGAGATCAAGAAGGGTGTGAACTTTATATTTAGTACACCTTTATAATTTTTTGAATCTTGATGTTTGGAAAATCCAGAAAAGATAAGATTAACAGAAAATCATACGACTAATGCAGTGCCCATCAGAGGTGAACTGCGTTGCTTATGTTTTTCTGTTTTATGTGCCTGGAAACCTTCTGAGCAATAACATTTCTAACAGAAAAGAAGTAATGATTTGACCATTGAGCTTGACAATTTTTTTAGCATTTCTGCCTATGATGATATTCCCTTTATGGTACTTCTTGTTGTTAATTTCTGAGCTCTATTTCCCAATCAGGGAAGATAGCTGTTGTTGGTGGCTGCCGAGAATACACTGGTGCACCATACTTCTCTGCAATTTCAGCCTTAAAGATTGTTAGTTAAACCATCCTTTTCAGTATTGAATTATTTAATTTTACTACAATTTAATTATGCAATAATAGCTGAGACCTTTTTGGCATGGGTATTGGCCTGTTCTCTCAGGGTGCAGATTTATCCCATGTATTCTGTACCAAGGATGCTGCTCCTGTTATAAAAAGCTACAGTCCTGAGTTAATTGTGCACCCTATTCTAGAAGAGTCCTACAGTATTAGGTGAGTCTTTGTTATGAAATTCAACTTAACTTTTAAGAGCACATTCTTAGTGTGTTTCTTTGGTTTCCGTCACTGAAGCATCATAAATTTAATTTTGAGGGTGCTGACTTTGACCAAAGGATTCTTCCAGGGACGAGGAGAAAAGTTCAATAGCAGCTAAAGTGATTGCTGAGGTTGAGAAGTGGATGGAGAGGTTTGATTGTCTTGTTGTTGGTCCAGGCCTTGGAAGGGATCCGTTTCTCCTGGTGTGCTCTTTTTACTCAAGCCCTTCCGTCCTTACACCTGATGTTTGTCTGTTCCTAGTATTCAGTTGCCACAAGTGCTTTGTTTTAATCACTCATGCAAAGAGATCACTTCTTCTTCCCCTAATTTTGGGAGGGTTTAGATTTGATTAAATGCTTATTTGCTGTAAAATGCTGACCCAAACATCATGATCTCGAATATGCTTAATCCTTATCCTCCTCTTGCATCTCTGTCCTTTCTGCTGCATATAAGGCTCACTATCTTTATTTTTCCATGTATAGAAAATCTAGTAAAGTTCATCATTGAACTGTGCCATCTTTGTGTTTATCTAGCTAAAGGCAAATATTTGGTGATACTTTCATTGTAGGGGATTCTGGTCTTCTGTGCATGAGGAAAAATTGACTTCTTGGTGTCTATTGTCACATTTCCTTAATTCCTAGCCTTTTCTTTAGCTGATATGGATAACTATTCCTTGAAAAAGCAAATGCATGTCTTCTGTGAAATATCGATCTGGTTTGTTTCAATTATTCATTCGCATTGAAGAAATATTACTGCAAGGTAAATATTGAGGGTAAAATATTGAAAGTCTGTGTAACTTTGTGGGTCAGGGATGTAAAGGATAGAGTGCATGATCCTGAAAAGTTTGAAACTTGGAAACATACAAGATATATTAGTTTTATGTAATATGTCCAGAAAGAAAGATGATTAGCATTGAACATGAGAGTGGAGCTACTATATAAAGCCTCAGAATTCGTTTGGTTCTTGTGGACAGAACATGCTTGTGATCTAAATTCATCTCATTTTTCCCGAGCATACTTGATTCAGTTTTAAGAGCAAACTTACCACTTTTAATCTTTTATGCTGCCAAGAAAAATTGGGCCACCTAAGCATGATGCCATTAATGCTACCAGGAAGTATCATTCCACAATTATCTTGCATTTTCTTGAAATTTATGTGCAGATAATTTCTCTCTTCTCCTCTTTTTAAGCTTTCACTTTTTGTGGGTTCTTTTGGTACACTTGGATTTTGATTGCATGTTTATTCTTCCAGGACTGTGTAAGTAATATCATGAAGCATGCGAGAGAGTGCAATGTCCCAATGGTTATAGATGGGGTATGTGATGGCATTATTATATTGCAAGCCAATTGTCTAATATTCCTTATGGCGTTTATCTCTTGATATGCCATTGGTGGTCTTCTGTGTTTTATCAGGATGGGCTTTTTCTTGTGACTAATTGTCTTGATCTGGTTAGTGGCTATCCCTTAGCAGTCCTGACTCCAAATGTAAATGAGTATAAACGGCTTGTTCAGAAAGTATTAAACTCTGAGGTAAATGACCAAAATGGAACCGATCAGTTGCTGTCTCTTGCAAAAGGGTGAGTCTTTTAATCCATATCTCATCTTTGCCTGCTGTTTGTCCTTTTAAATTTGTTACTGACAATGATTGATAGACGTCCAAAGTTATGTGATCTTAAAGAACAGTCTGCCAATTTTTCTTTTTTCTTCAAAACCATGGTGATACATTGAAAACTTAATATGTCAAGACCTACATTATGCCTTACAAAACATCAACTCTTTAGAGTGCCAAAAGATAACATTATATGTTTAATAGGTCCTACAAAGATTTTCCCCTCCCTTGGGGAAGAAATGAATTAAGCACCTCCTAGTAACTTTGTTTCAAGTTGGTGTATATAATCCAGAAATTTATGTTATATAACTCTGGGTTTTGTTCACAAGGGTATGGCTGAGTGGTTCAGAAATAAAGAGTAACAACTCAGAGATCCCAGGTTCAAATCCCAACTACAGCATTTAGGATGAGCCCATCTGTTTCTGTCAGATGGCAGGTTTTAAAAAGAAATTGTGCTGTGGGTTTTAGCTGGATGTCCAGTGGATTAGTCTAGCTACGCGCAAGTCGGTCCGGAATACCATTATCCCAAAAAGGAAAAAAGAACACCGGGTTATAGAAACTTGAGATTTTTCTTATAAAAAAGAAAGTCTTTGATATTCTTATGTGAGTTGTTTGTTGACTTTGCAATGTTTAACAGACTATAGTACGGTTATTTAAAAAAAACTGTAGTGGAGTCTCAAAATTAAAGCCATCCGGTATAATGGTTTCGATCTAGTGGTAAGAGTGCAACACGTGATATGTTGGTTAAGCGCAAGTCACGGGTTTGAACCCTACCACAAACAAAAGTCTGGTATTTAAGCGAATAAGGATAGAGGGGTAGGCCCATTATCCACCGAGTTTCGAATCGTGCACCAAGCATCATGGTTAAGAGGCTCGCAACCACTATAGTATTTTCCTCTGGTTTGGACCCAATTTATGAGGATGTACATATATGGCCAGTTTATAGCTGTCAATGTTCATCTCATTGTATTTATTACTTCTATTAGTGGTGTAATAGGTAAAATATCCTTTTGATCAGGATTGGCGGTGTTACAGTCCTGCGGAAAGGAAAATCTGACTTTATCAGTGATGGTAAAACAGGTAATACTTTTGCTTTGTCAATTGCCCTTGTACAGATAACTCAATCATTTAGATTCCGTAGATCAGTAATTTACTGGTGGATGAACAAGGCTTTTGTGCTTCAGGCATGAGTTCCACCTGCATACTTTCGTGATGCACAAAAAGTTGGGACTCCTGCTCTCCTTAGGAGCATATCTAAGTCTATTTTGTTACTTAACTTAGTTATGAGACTTTATAACCTAATATGAGAATAATGACCACGAAGGACATAGATTTTTATGGGGACTTTCAAGTTGTAAATCTGAATCTTTTTTATGGTAGTAACGGCTTGTACATGCTAACAAATTGATTCTCAGTAATGTAAACATGTTCTTTTAGAGTTTCAGTAGTATTAGATATTTCTTTTTTATTTTGATTTGGAATGATGCATCAGATAAGAAACAGCTGAAGTTTTTCCATTACTTGCTAAAGTGACTTAGATTCTAGGGGTTAACTTTAAGGTTGGGATACATGGTTAGGCCCCAGTTCCTCTTCTAGGAGACGTATCTTAGAGTACTTGTGCTCAAGAGGCAACCTTTTCAATTTAGCCTAAGCGTGCTCTTTGGAAAAAAGAAGTGATGACAGCGGGAGGCAAGGAAATTCAGAGAAGAAAATGAACTCAGGAACCAATATAAGTTTCAGGGATGATGGATGGTGTTTAATTAAATTATTATGAGAAAATCCTCTGAAAGTTCCTTCAGTAGTGGTTTGAGTTTTGGGTGTTACCTATCTATTATTCTGCTTCTAGTGCTTCCGGCTTTGATGAATATTTGCAACACCACATTTCCATATGAAGGAAGATGCATCTTGTATTTTGCTCTATACCTATTTGGTGGGTCATTTTCTGCACTTTGCAGTACCAGTTTTGTTTAAGGAGGATGCTGCACCATTTACTGTAATTTATTTTATAAGGAATTCATGGGCAAGACAGACATTTTAGAGTTCCGAGTAGTAAAAAGGATACTGGCTACATTTTCACCATTAATATATATTCCATTTTATATCGAGTTCGACTGAATGGCTATAGTTGATGTATTGCATGTATAAATTGTGGCTCTAAATACGTTGAATACTTAGGTGCATCCTTCAAGTCGTAAGTTACAATTGAAAAAGATGTAAACATCAACAGGTGTTGTCTAAGGACTAATACTGTCTCAATGATATACTCCTTAAATGATGAGTTCAAGAGGAGCAAAGTTTATTGTAATGAGTACATCAAATAATTTTGGAAGTCATGAGCTAACTAGTGATATGGGATATGCAGCTTGTGCAGTGAGTATTTATGGTTCTCCGCGGCGCTGTGGTGGGCAGGGTGACATACTGTCAGGAAGGTAATTACATTTTCTACCATACATATGGTTACCATTTTCAGTATTGTTTAATTAGTTGTAACATGTTACTACCTTATTTTTGTTGTTTGTGTATAAAAATTGAAATCACTACAGATTTTCATTAGTAAAATGCAAGTTCACAGTTCTGATTAACTATAACTTGCATCCCCTGTTTACTCTCTCCTATACAACTCTGTTACTGAATCTTGACACGTACGTAAATCTGCAGTGTTGCAGTGTTCCTATCCTGGGCCCGCGAATGTGCGGCTAAAGGGGAGGTAAGCATGAACCCAACCATATTAGGATGTGTCGCCGGATCTGCTTTACTGAGGAGAGCAGCATCTTCGGCATTTGAGAGTAAGAAAAGGTCTACGCTCACTGGTGATATCATCGAGTGTTTGGGAAGAAGGTAGGTGTTTCTTGCATCTTTTACTTACTGTTGAGAACAATCAACTATTAACTTGCATTTCTCTCTTCTCAGTGTACAGGAAATATGTCCAGTCTAATTGGAACTTATTGGGAGCACGACACTTCTACTCCAAACTTGAAGAAGCAGTTCTGTGGTAAAGGGCAAAGGGGAAACAAAGAAGGAAAAATAATGGAAAGTAGGGAAACTCGTCCCGTTTGTTGATGCTAATAAGACTGAGGTGTGTGAATATAGCTACTCCTTTTTGCAGTTGTAACGTCCGATCCCTGTTTCCCTGATCCTGTAGCTTTTAGTCTCATGCCTATGCTCAGTGGTAAACATTTCGTGTTACTAATCATAAGCTTTAGTTTTTTGGGCATGGGATTTAAGTTTTACATTGCAGTGTAAGTTCTTTTACATTTCAGTATATTTTACTAGCTCTAACAGGTTATCCATCTTCGATTCTATGTTACTAACTCATGTTTAATATTGGATCCTTTTCTTTTGTTGAAGAGGGAAAGGGATACCCATGCTTTACCTTATAAGTAGCAAAACCAATTGTCATACCATTAAATAAATGATGTTAGTGGACACAAATGTAAACAATTTCTTCTCTACTACACTGGGATATTACGGAATGAAAGGGAAAAGGGGGACGATGAGAATTGAACCCACTACATCATTGAACGTTTACCCCCCTTTTCTGGTTCCTAGAGAAAAATAAGAGGGAAAGGTAAAATTTATCCACACTCAATTTTTAAATCCAAAGTAATGAATCAAAATGTGGTACTACCTATTAATTTATCATAGTTAGCTGAAGAAAGTTACACATAAAACTTGTCATGTTGTGATACAAACACTGGGGGTGGGGGGCTGTTTTTCCTGGAGAAGGTTGTCCCAGTCCTTGCCATATTTCTCCATTGTTTTCTTTTCCTTTAAACAGTTTTGGTTTTCTTCTTTGCTGAGAGTATTTCTGGGTTACCAGGATTGCCACTCAGAACATTCTTTTCACCACATCTGAGAAACCTACCACACAAAAAAAGGCATATTTTATTCAAACCGCTTTAGATATTTGATATTCTCTACTTCTCTAAACCCTTTACTATCTGGTTATCTTTGCTTCTAAAAATAGTTAAGGAAATCCAACCAAATATATATAAGAGAACAACAAGAGCTGCTATTGCACTTTACCCCAGACAACTCGATTTGCAACAGAAGTTGATACAAGTTTGTTCCGTTATTGAAGAATTAACCTAAATAGCTATCTACTTGAACGCTTAAACTAAAAAGATGCATAATATATGTATAGTCTGTAACATGTGTATAATTTGTGTGTAATCTATGTATACTGCTAGAAAAAGTAAATAAAAATTCGGCTGGATATTTGTGTTAAGATTCCGTTATTGAAGATTTTCAGCATAATGTCGTTGCCCTTGACTTGCTCTAGTCGCCCTATACATAACTTGTTAGCTTTGGAGACTCATACATACATTGTCCACGAGCATGCACCAACTTTCGAACTAGCATGCTAGAACGAAAAGAGACCCCTGGCTAAAGGAGGAGGTAAAAAGAAACTATTTGTACATGCAAAATATCTGGGTGCTTAAGACCCAAAGTCGAGAAAGAAATAGTCCAGATCGTATACTAAAGTCCCTTGCACAAGACGGTGCTCTTTCACTTCAAGTAGTGAAATCCCATTTCTGGGAGAAGCTATTGCGTCCAAGTCATTCAAAAGCAGCAAACCTCTGGTATTTAAGTAGTTAGGGAGTTTGAACCCTTTGAAATCATAGAAAAGCCTTTCCCAACTAGCCTCCCGAAAGATCAACTAGTTCAAAGGGGTTAATTAATCTTTATTAGGGGGTCTTGGTTAGTTGGTTGACCCACTGTAGTTTCAAATGTTACAGCAGGCATCGATCAGTTTTGTGATATGAACTGACACGAAGAAGGGTAGGTAGTGGAAATGCAAAAGGAAAAAAAAAACAACAAAAAATCTGGACCCAGCACAGAGCATGTTGTTAGACAAAAATCCATTGACTTGACTTTTGCAAGCGAGCTAAAATTCCATTCGACGTAATGTAGCAGGATCCAACATTGCACCATTTCCCATTTTCATTGGGATTCAGATTTTTTGAGAAAAAGTTTCCTTCATGAAACATCATGGTTGGGTCGATCAAACCAGATCTTAAGTGAATAAAAAATGTAAATACTTGGGATACATTTACATCATCTATTACTAATAGTGATAATTAAATGTAAAGTAATGGCTCTTCCTGATAATCATATATACAATCGTTGGATTATTACGTTCTCAAGCAAATGTTTGAAGTTGAGACCAGCTGCGCTACACTAGCGTCAAAACACGAGAAGGTACCAAAAAAGAACGAAATGGAATTGAGTCTTCCTCGAATTTGAAAACTTTAGCAAATTAAGTGGGTTTGGACATAAGAATTATGAAATTCCAGAAAAAATGATTTTTTTTTTCAAGTTGAAAATGAAATTTAAAAATTAGATTTGTATTTGGACATGATGTAATTTGGAGCTTTTTTTGAAAGGATTGCAGAACAAACAAAAGGAAACCAATATCTTATCATCGCCATTTGATCAGTCAACCATTCCTCGTCTCATAATCATAAGATTAAAACCTAGTGATTATAATAGCTCTACTAATCCCTTTTTATTAGTTAAATTTATGAAATCAGCACTAGTTAAACACAGACAACGGCTTTGCTCTCATCTCCCAAGGAGCAGCATTTGAATGGAGGACTTGAGCCACAAAGTTGCCATCAAAGAGAGGCAGAAAGATAGATATGCACATAAGCAACCTAAACCCAGGTTTTACTTTATAATTCACAAAAGATTACCACTCAAAACATACTTGTTCATAAACTAAAAAACATCAAGCTCACTGTATGAAGTTTAAGCTAACACGGAACACTCAGACTTTCAACAACTGTTGCTTCATGTCTATATATTAAAGAGTTCAAAGTATGCAGACTGCTATCACTGTGATGTGTTCTCCAGTACTTTGCTACTCGGACTACTCCCTGCTACTAAGCCCTGGCTTCTGCAGATGGGCATTAAAATTAGGGATCAGTAATATTTAACAGATGTAATTAATCGCGTAAACAGTAATGGAAATACAGAAGGTTGACTACTAATGACACCTCAGACTTCTTCTTAAATAAGTTTTGACATTGCAGTAATTTTCCTTTCAAAACCTCCAAATAGTAGTTAAAACTTGATTGGGAGGCCCCAAAAGAAAAGCAAAGATTCAATTTCCACTCCCTTCCTTGGAACCATAAACATACATTTACAGGCTGACCGAACAGACGAAGCATGGAATATACGATAAGATAAAAGAAAATTAGAAGTAGGTAAGGAAGAGCAAAGCATCAATCAAAAAGAAAGAATAAATGACAGAGGGTAACTTTAGCGATGAAATATGTTGTAGTGCTTACACTGTGACCTAAAGCTTTGAGCTGCTTAAGAATCTGAGGGTGGTTGTTGTTGCTGGGGCCAAATTGGCTGAGCCATATATGGACGGGGCTGCTGAGCATAAAGAGCTTGATCAACAGGCTTTCCCATGTACATCCCTGAAGCTCCAACCGGAGGAGCAGACTGCGGTGGCATGCCGTAATAGAATGGCAGACCCTCAGTCGGGCCTCCAACAGGAAGGGTTCCTCTAGGAATTGATGCAAGCACCTCATCTTTCAAGTCCTCCCTTGGTACAATGTCAACTAAGAAATCAAATATGTCGGTCCTTGTTATGGCTGCTGCGATATCATTTTTCTGCAGTGTCCTCCTTTTGTTCTCCTCAGTGTGGTTCCATGCACGCAGTGTCAACTCAAGTATGAACATCTCACAGGCACGAGCAAATACAACTGGTGCTTCTGCAGAAATCATCCTAACATCTTCGTCTGCTTTCATGATTTTCTTGATCCTTGCCAACGGCAGGCTATGATTCTTGAAATCAGTAACATGCTCGATTTCTTGATATTGATTTGCCCAGAAAGTTTGGAGTTGCTGCTGCAACTGTTGCTGCTGCTGCTGATGAATGTGCTGATAAGCGAGCTGATGTTGTGCCATCTGGGCTGAGGAAGCAGAAAGACCAGCTGTTTGAGGAGATTGAATTGCACCAGCTGAAACTGCAGGAGATGGCCCTGCCATTTGGTTAGCTTGGTATGGAGCACCATATATTGGAGCTGAGCTAGTAACGACTCCAATACCTGGAGGCTGTCCATTTCCATGATGATCCATTTTGAGCAAGTGGCCCTTTTTCGGGAGAATTCAAGGCTACCTTAGGCTGTGAGTAAGGTAGAAACAAGTAACAATTTTAGATCCTAAATATCGTCTTTACAGGTATCGTAAAGTGTATAAAGAAATCAAAAGAAAAACCAGTCATTCCATTTAATCACGTTGATGGAAGCCCCGACTTATGAAGGATTAGAGGAGAAATTGAGCTCACAAGTGACAATACATAATGAGACCATAATAATAGTATCAACCTTCTTTCGGAGGCTTCAGATTTCAGAGGACATGGCCCTCGATAGGAAGCTGTGGACTGTCGAGTATTAGGGTTGTAGGTTAGGAGTAGTTGAGTCTTTCCTTGGTTCGTATCTTTGTGAGGCTAGTTTGGTAGGGTTTTTGTCCGAGACAATTAGTGGCAATGTTGTGTCTTACTACTCTTTCGTTCTTCATAGGGCTGAGTCTATTTACTGGCTAGCGCTTTTGCTTTGCACCTATTTTCTGGTTTTCATGATGTTATTTTTTCTTATGGTATTTGTTGGTGGTACTGATATTGTCTCTTTTTGTCTTTTTGAGCTGAGGGTCTTTTGGAAACAGCCTCTCTACTCCTCGGGGTAGGGATAAGGTCTGCGTACACACTACCCTCCCCAGACCCCACTAGTGGGATTTTACTGGGTTGTTGTTGTTGTTGTTGCTTCTTTAACAACTTGGGGAAATGGGCCTTTATGGACATTTACAATGTTGAAATTAAGGAAGTGTCCTTTTTAGATCTCTTATGCGTAAAAGGAAATCTCCCATGTGTAAATAAAGAGATAGGGTCATAAAACTAAAAACAAGTTTGTAAAACCCCACAAAACCATTTGACCACTTTAACTTCTCACTTGCACCTACCTATTGATTGTGATCGCTTCTTCTATACCTTCTATACTGGGGATATCAATCACATAGAGATAATTAAGCATACATTTATTTGGAAGAAAACTTCAGATGCCTAGTAAAGAAGATGCTATTAATACGGACCATTGAAATTAAAAGATATATGCAGGGTATGCATGGAAAAGTATCTCAACCAAGTCATGGAAAAGTATCTCAACCAAGTAACAGAAGGAAATAAGTCAAATAGTCCCTCTTATCTAAATCTGCAAACTGGTGCGCGGATCCGACAACAAATAATCTGAAGGACATTTAATTCCAGGGCAATAAGAAGGAAATCTAGAGTGTAAAAGAAATGAAGTCATTAAGCTCCATCATGACATTGATCAGATCAATGAAGACAAGATCTTAATAAGAAAAAGATATTAATGAGCATGAGAACATGCTCACCATGCAATAAGTAGCTGACTTTACTGCCCAAGATGGAATAACTGATGATATACAAGAGTTAACAGTTTTATAGAAACTACTGAAAACAACAAACACCACAAGCACTTCACCAGAATTAACAGTCATATCATTTCAAGTTTCTATTTATCCCAGTCTGGTTTGAAGTGAAAAAGGAAACATCTTCCAACTTGGGCACGTGGTGAGCACGCATCAATTGTCACAAAATGTTCATACACTCTGGATAACTAGCTATTTTGTTACTTTCGGCTAATCCAAGTTCCAATTAAATTCCAACAGGAAGTATAACAGACAACACTTTCTTATAATGAACGTGTCTATCATGCATCTGGAAAATGTTTGGACAATTTGAGTAACCCGCAAATTTGTCATTTTCAGGAATTCCATATCCCAATTCTTCTTAATTCAGGAAACGCGTTAATAAATGTCCCACAACCGGAAAACTAGTTATTCTGTTATTATCACAGAATTCAAATACCCACAGGAATAATCCAAAACCTTTGTTGTTTCCCAAGAAAGGAATTAAGTGGGAATAACAAGCACAAAAACATGCTTTCCACGATTGAACAACTCAGACCAATTGAATTTGTTCCACGCATAAAACATTAATCCCAGCACAGTCTTCAAGCATTCACAAGTTCCTGGTGATTCAAATAAGGAAACAGCAACGGAAGCATCTCTATCAAGGCAACTTAACCAACAAAGCTACCATCTTATGCATCTGCTAAAACTTCTGAATTAAAATTTCTGCTCTAAACACCATTAAGAAAAGCTTACATACGTGCACGTGACTATATGTGCCCATCTGTTCAAGAACATGGGACAACACTCAAACCTCAAATCCTCAATCAACAAACAAAGAACCTTATGCGTCTACTAAAACCTCTACATTCAATTCGAGTTCTATTATCACCACAAATCAAAAAGCCACACATGCATGCATATGATTTATGTGTCTATAAGCACAGAACACGACCACCTCATAAAATACTCAAGACTCTAACAAACCGACCAAAAAGAGAACACCCACAACTTATCAGACCACCAATCAACACAAATAGCGAATCTGATATCAACATTCAGTACCTCTCTACTGATTGCAGCTCCAAATTCTTGATTCACCTCACGATCAAATCACCTAACATCAACCAAACAAATCAGCAAACCCAAAATCTTAAAACAAAGTTAAAATAAAAAATCAACCATATATCTCCATTCTAATCAAGTGAAACCACCCAAAGATTATAACCAAATTAAAAAAACAGAACAATGAAAGGCAAAACTCTTGCAAAAATGGAAACATGCATATAGAGAATTGTACTTGAAAAATTGAAACTTCGATTTAAACCAAAAAACTCTCACTAAAAATCAGACATAAATGTCCATCTAATCAAACGAAATTCACCATAAAATCTTTTTTTAAACAAAAAAAAAAAAAAAGAAGCAAAATTCAAGTAAAAAATGGAAACATGCAGCTGGAATATTGAAGCTGAAAGCTTGAATTTCCGATTGATCGAAAAATTCAGCAAATTACCCACTAAAAACCAACCATGAATCTCTAACCAAATTAAAACCACCCAAACAAAAAAAAACCCCAAAAAAGAACAAAACTTTCATGAGGAAAATTGAATGCAAATCGAAAAGAACCACTAAAAATCAGCTACAACTCTCAATTTCAATCAAACACCCACCAAAAAAAGAAGAAGCAGAATTCAAGCTGTATATGTAAGAATATAAACATGTAGATAGTAAAATTGGACCTGAAAGATTGAAACTTTGTGTTGATGAGAGAGAGAGAGGGAGAGTCAGCTAGGGTTCAATCAAAGAGGTAGATGATTGATTCCAAATGCAGCTGAAATGCTGTATTAAATAAGTAGTACTACTACTAAACACTTATTTTTTAATGAATTAATAAATGCTGGTGAACAAAGTTTAGACCATTATGGTTTGTGTAGAGATACATACTTATAATTCTTTTATATGATTTTAAGTTTAAATTTTTTTTGGTAAAGAATATAGGTTTTAGTATCGTCTATTGAAAATAATCTCTCTACTTTTGTAATATAGGGTAAGCTATGTATCCACACTATCCTCCTCACACGCTACCTACTGAATTATTATTGTTTGAATATAAGCCTTCGTGTAAATCTGAATTAATTAAATATTTTAGTAGGAATACAAAAAGATTGTGAAAAAAGATAAAGTTTAGGTACAACTTTTTTGTATACTATATATGTATGTAAGTTACAATCTTTTTGTATACTACTCCCTCCATCCCTTTTTCAATTTAGATAATTCGTTTATCGAGAGTCAAACTGCATGAAGTTTGATCAATATTTTAAAATATATTTTATTATCATATTTATATAAGAAAAATTATAACTTGTAGTACTTTTCGTGTAGTTTTAGTATATCTAAATTTTAATTTTAAAATACTAGATTGAACTAATTTAATTTAAGTTTAAAGTTTAGTCAAATTGACTAGCGAAATGTGTCATCTAAATTGAAATAAAGGGTGTATATAAAAAAAATTAAAGTTTAGGTACAATTTTTTTGTATATGTATGTAAGGTACCACTAAATAAAGCACGAGTGTTGTTTTTTTGGGTCTCTAGCTAGAACTCTCCACGTGCCTCGTCTGTCTAATTAAAATTTGTTGTGCTCATGCTTACGCTAAAAGAGTTTAATAAAAAGAAAAAAGAAAAGAAAACCCTACTTCCTTTTTCTTTTTTGTTTTCCTTTCTAAGAAAAACAAAACCCTACATAATTTTACTAAAACTTTTGTTTTCTTCATGGCAAAGTGACAAAATCTTTTTTGTTTTGTTTGTATTCTGATCTCTTTACCCCCCCCCCCCTCCCCCCCTTCCCCCGTTTTTTTTTTTGGTTTGATCGGTAATTCACACTTGTTTTGATCGAAGTTTAAAAACGAAGAAGAAAAATAGAAGACGTAATTGTCGTTTAACTTCAAGTTCGTTGAATTCCTTTAATCACAATATATTACGACGATCTTTTGCATTTACGACGATCTTTGCATTTATTGACATAAGTTTTTGACATAGACGGTAAATACAAGATTTTTAGGTCATGATCATACAAAGGATAAACCGATAAAGTGAAAAAACTTTGATATTTTGGGCTGTTTGATTCTTTATTCTGCAATCTAATAGTTATAATATTTGGTTTTTTTTCTTTCTAAAATCGTGTTTTTAATAATTAAAAGTTACCAACCAAAAGGGTTAAGGAAATTGAGGCAGATTAATGCATTTCTGGAATAGAGGAACCTTCAATAATAATAATAATAATAACAATAACAATAACAACAACAACAACAACAATAATAATAATAATAATAATAATAATAATAATAATAATAATGTAAAGGGGGCGTATAGTGATACACTTGATATGTTTCCAATTGATAATTGATGTAGCCGTTTTACTTTTCTGTTTGTAGACCATTTGGTTTCCACTAGATATAGCTTTTTGCCAAAAGAGCACTTCATATAGATACTAAATGTCAAATTATCGAGTCAAAGATAAATTAGGTTTTTGTTGTTATAAAGTCATCAAATATTATATTATATCCTAAGAAGTATGGCCGAGGTTCTATCTTTTGTCGGTCATACTCTCACAATAAAATATTTAAAATATTTTAAATAAAAAATCTAAAAGCTAGAGAGTGACGACGGCTGCACTAGTAAAAATGGGATCAATTTATAGAAGCTAAAAATTTTATAATTCACCTTTTAAAATAATAATTGATTGCATAGACATAGTGCACAACTTGCAAACTAAAATAATGATGGTTAAGTGATCTTTTAGAAAGAAAAAAAATCGTTTTATTATGTTACATCGGAACTTCTTTACTCCAACTTTTTCTTCCCTCTCTTCATTTGGTTCCTCTCCTTAGGTTTTTGAAGACAAATTATTGTTTAATTTTTTTGTGAAAAACAAATGCACATCATTTCTACTCCTAGCTTAAATATGCTTTGATTATTTTAATAAGTAAAGTTAGGAATGGGATATAGTAAGTGTGTCACGAGTACATTTTTACAAGACTTTCGCTTCTTTCTAATAACAAAGAGAAAATTACTCTTTCAGAAAGCAAAGCTACAACTCTTCAGTCTAAGCTATCTAGACCCGAACTTAAGACCGACCTAAAAAATTTAGGAAAAAATGTGATGAATTATTTCAAAACCGACTCGAGTTATTTTTTTTAATTAAATTGATTCCGTCTAAGCTTTGAAAAAGGCCCCTTATTGCTCACTAGTATGGACAACTATCATAAGCTTTGCTCCATTGAAAAAGATATGTGTTCATTGTTTGATTTGATTCAATTTCACTTTAAAAGGATATAAATTAGTTATGTCGATTTGCTAAATATACAAACTAAACTAAACCAGTAGAGTCAACTTTTAATTGTATTTTTGTCGAGTTTTTCTAAAAATTCTTGATTTTATTTTCACATGATTACACAAATTCACTTCATTCAATATTTCACTCTATGATAGTCAAAGTCTTTACTTTATAATATAAAAAACAAAAGCTATTCTACTGCACGATATTGGTTTACCACAAAATACTGTCTAATAAGTTGTGTTTTTACATGATATATACATTCATTATGTAAGAGCTCTTATACACGCAAAAGTTGAACGGGTGTAAATTAGCATATACATGATAATGACATTTCAAGTTTGTAACACACGACTTAATTAAGACACCATACAAATGTAAGGTCACAAAACCTGTCTATGTCACAGTAAATGATTGTAGTTCCATAATAACATGCTTGTAATTATCAATTTAATTTACGTGTTTAGCTTAGGCAAAAACGTTCATTTGATCTAATCTATATCTATCTATCTATTTATCTATATCTATCTATCTATCTATACTATATTAAAAGCATCTCCTTCAACATCGATAAATTAGTTGTGTTTGAAAGCTCCTCATTTTTTAGTTGATTTGGATTTGAACTTTCTTCTTTTTCTTTATATATTGTACTTTTTGTAGTGCCATAAACGAAAATTCTTGTACAATTAACTAAGAGCCTGTTTGGACATAAGAAAATTTTCACTTTTTTTTGAAATCAGCGTTTGGTCATAAAATTTTCAATTTTCACTTGAAGATGCATTTTGGAATTTTTCGAAAATTTGAAAAGCTCCAAAAAGTTATTTTTCAAAATTTTACTCAGATCACTCAAAAAACTTCAAAAACAACCCAAAATTATACTCATGTCCAAACAGAACTCTAATTTTCAAATACCATTTTCACTTGAATTTTTTTTTGGAATTTTACAATTTTTATGTCCAAACGCCCACTAAATAACTTAGCTAATTTATTCTAATTCATGCTTCATATCATAAATTATTCAATGTAGTATAATCTCCACTCTACCATGAGGTTTATTGATATATTTTGGTCTATCGACACATTGAACAGATTTGTAGTTGAGATTTATTACCAACAACGGTATAAATATTTTTGCAATATATACCCAACTAAAAATTTATTATTTAAAGATAATTTTTAATATTTGAGAAGGGATTTTCGCATGTATACAAAATCCAGATATTTATATATGACTTTAAAAACAAAAATATAAGTATTGATACTGGGTACATGCGCAATGCGGGTATTCTAAGACTATGAAAGTTCAATGTTACATGAAGGGAAAATAATTAGCGGTCGTCCAAGTGAAGGTTCGTGGCACAGAAGCCACTATTTTAATTTTTGTCATTAAAAAGTTATCCAAATTGAGGTTTGTTGCACAAAAGTCATTATTCTAATTTTTGGTACTTAAAAATCTTTCAACTAAACCCCGATTAACTAAAAAATACACCATGCTAGAATTATATATTTATTTGCACCGAATATGTTACGTGGCATGTTACCGATGACCACTGATGAAATTTCCCCTGAAATAATTTGCAGATGATCATGTATACACGAGTTCAAAATTTTGTAAGTGGTTTATATAAGATATATGACATGAGCATCAGCTTGAATTATCCTTTCATAAAGTTTCAAATGTATGAGTTGTAAAAGCATAAGAGCTATATAGAACTACCTTTGGTCTCTCACGTCTTCCCATCTTTAACTTAACTGTCTCAATTACATTGATCCTAAACTATATCCATCTAAGTATTCTTATCCTTACCTTTTCGTTCGTATGAGTTTCTCAAGGCAAACATGTATATTTACTTGAGTAGTAACACTATAAGATCGATGATCAAGATTTAAACTTAGTAATAGCAGCATGTATTACGTTCTAATTTAGGGATGATCCTATTTTGATTGGGTATTAAGATGAAATGGTATTTTTATTGCATAAGTATAAGAGTTAGAGGTTGAGGTAACTTAACTTTTGATAAATGTTAACTTTTCTTTTTCCAAAAGGAAGTCGAACTCATATAAAAAAAATATATAGAAAAGTTTATTGTCACGACCCGGATTTTCCACCCTCGGGTCTTGATGGCGCCTACTCGTGGAAGCTAGGCAATCCAAGAACCTTTACACACATTAACCTATCTCGTTTTATACATGATTAAACAATTAAATTATCAATGAATAAGCAGTTAAGAGATAGCGAAAAGTAAAATTTAGCGGAAGTCTGAACTAAATATAGAAACAGCATCTAGAAAGCCAATACAAGTCTCTACCCAGCATCTGGTGTCACAACAATACACGGACTGTCTAGGATTACTACAAATAAGAGTTTGAAATAAAGGACATAGTCCGTTTCGAATACAAATGTCAACAGAACATGAAAACTGATAGAAGGGACGCCGGGCCTGCGGACGCCAGCAAGGCTACCTCGGAGTCTCGTGGACTGAAGGTCGGCTCCCTGACTACTGCTGCGCACCGTAAGCTGCTCCGACACCTGGATCT